GTAGACCCTTATAGACTTGTATAGACCCCTGTAATTCTTTGCATTTGAAGGGAGGAGGTTGAAGCTCATTGATAAGAGCTCAATTTGACCAAAAGTTCTGATTTTCCAACTCAGGAGTCTGAGTTCTGCAGCTGTTGATGCTCAGATACACTGAACTGACCTATAGACTTTAAATGTGAAACTGGTGTCAGTTTCACATTTTCCTGATGCTCTGAACATACTATTACAGTTCTAACTGTAACACACTTATTTTGAAATGCTTCTGTGCTGCCTGCCTCGACACAACATGTGGAAATGAGCTGCTTTTATAATCTGGCACATTTCCACTGGAACAAGTGCACATTCAATGTTCCCAATGTCATATAAATAAAGGTCTGTCTGTGGCACCTCTGCACACTCCAGGTGGCGCTTCACACTAGTAGTGCCCCCACCAAGCCCTCACTGTCCAGCCAAAACCACATGCTATGAAAAAGACAAATGGGTTTGGAACAGTAGAATCATTAAACTCTTACCTGAAGTAAAATAAGATATATTTTGTTTTGAAGGATACAAGGATTTTAGAAAGAAGGTGTCTTCAGCATTTGAGAGACATGTAGTTCCTTATGTTCCTTATATACTTTTGTGGGAAGTTTTTGGGGATTTGCTAACCTATATATTTTTGGAAAGGTTATAGTATATGGAGTCAGAAAATCAATGTTTGCATTTGCCCAGATGTCTTTATGGCGGCCATATTGAATTTAGAAAAAAAAAAAGGCCGCCAAAAAACCCTTTTTGGAATATCTCAGCCTCTGAATAAGTTGAAATGTTGATTTTAACTGCTAAACCCACATTTTCAGGGTCAGGGAATCAAATGGTGTTAGTTACAAACCTGTAAGACCTACCCACATTAACCCTTAGATACATAAGTGGGTCAAAAATGACCCGATTTGGTTGTTTGCTTGCAATTTCATTGTGATATTTGCATGTGATACTCCATGTTCCTCCAAAAAACATGTTTTTTTAATTCTCCTGTTGAAATACTTCAACAATATGGGTAAAACAAACTATAAACATCACATGCAGTTGGTCAGATAACTCAAAGAGTTTAAAGTAGCTCACATAAAATGTGTATGATGGATGTCAACACACACATTTAGACACAATATGATTATGCAACCTTTTTATTAGACATTTTCTATACATCATCATTATCATCATCACTTTCATACAACCATAGACTGTATATACAAGTGGACAGATCTAACCCTGTAGCCACCATGTGCCAAATAGGAAGTTCTCCAGGAGGCTCTTCCAGCTCCTTCTGACTCTGGCTCTGACTTACGTTAGGACCTTGTGGCTCCTCTGTCTGTACCTGCTGCTGTGAACCTCGACATTTTAGTCTTAAAATGTTTATATGAACCTGCTTTACATGATCCTGAATTTGTTTTTTGCTAGTTTTTCCGTCAAAAAAATCCTATTCATAATATAGAGTCTGGCTCCAGATTTGCTCCTGTAACAGTGAACATCTCAAGCTTCATTTGAGCAGCGCTGAACTCTGTGGGTCACACCCACTTAGTCCACTTCTTTTATACAGTCTATGCAACAACATGGCTTGGGAATCATCATCATTCTGGCACTGGCTGCTGCACTGACACATGTCGGTACAGGATAAACCTTTAGTTTCTGGTGTGCAGTTCTACAGTCACCTTTGTATTTGGCAGTGGTGAACCGTGGACATGGACCCTGGGCCTTCACTAGGACCAATTTCTGGCCATCATTACATGAATTATTTAAAGAAAACTAAATGAAGCAAATCGCACATGCACTTATTTCATATATTTGTTTAATAAACATTAGCTACTGTTCAACAAGATGGACAGATCCATAGCCGTCCGGGCTACGAGTTCCATGGGCTCCGAGCTCTGCCGGCTCCGAGCTCTGGTCTGGCCATGGGCTCCGAGCTCCGGTTCCTGGGTCGTCCAAATAGGGGTGTCCTGCTCATTGACGCTGCGGTCTTGCTTATATTTGCTATCACAGGGTATTCGCAAAGGCTCTGAAGATGTTGTGATATGATCCGACCATATATATACACCAATAGCGTTCAGCGCTGCTCAAATGAGGCTCATGATGTTCACGGTTACAGGAGTGAATATGGAGCCAGGCTTTTTATTATTCCATTCCATTTCTTCTGCATATCCGGGGTCGGGTCGCGGGGACAGCAGTCCCTTCTTCACACACACTTCCTCCAACTCCTCCTGGGGGACCCCACGGTGTTCCCAGGCCAGCCGGTGGGACATGCCCGGAACATGCCCGGAACACCTCTCCAGGGAGGCGCCCAGGAGGCATCCGGAACAGATGCCTGAGCCACCTCATCTGGCTCCTCTCAACATGGAGGAGCAGCGACTCTACCCAAGCTCCTCCCGTGTGACTGAGCACCCTATCTCTAAGGGAGCGCCCAGACACCCTGCGGAGGAAACTCATTTCGAGCGCTTGTATCTGCGATCTTGTTCTTTCGGTCACTACCCAGAGCTCATGACCATAGGTGAACATAGATTGACCGGTAAATCGAGAGCTTTGCCTTTCGACTCAGCTTGCTCTTCATCACAATGGTCCGATACAGCGACCGCATCACTGGTGACACTGCACTGATCCACCTGTCAATCTCATGCTCCATCCTTCCCTCACTCAAGGACAAGACCCCGAGATACTTGAACTTCTCCACTTGAGGCAGGGACTCTCCACCCCCCCGGAGAGAGCAAGCCACCTTTTTCCGGTCGAGAACCACGACCTCGGATTTGGAGGAGCTGATCCTCATCCCAGCTGCTTCACACACGAGTCAAATCGCCCCAGTGCTTTAGGTCCTGGTTTGATGATGCCAACAGGACAACATCATCTGCAAACAGCAGAGATGATCCTGTGGTCCCCAAACCGGACCCCCTCCGGCCCCTGACTGCGCCTAGAAATTCTGTCCATAAATACAATGAACAGAACCGGTGACAAAGGGCAGCCCTGGTGGAGTCCAACATGCACCGGGAACAGGTCTGACTTACTGCCGGCGATGAACACAGCTCCTGCTCCGGTCATACAGGGACCGGACAGCTCTTAGCAAAGGACCCCGAACCCCATACTCCCAGAGCACCCCCCACAGGACACCACGAGGGACACGGTCAAATGCCTTCTCCGGATCCACAAAGCACATGTGGACTGGTTGGGCAAACTCCCATGAACCCTCGAGCACCCGATGGAGCGTGTAGAGCTCGTCCAGTGTTCCACGACTGGGACGAAAACCACGGTCGGATTCTCCTCTCCAGTCCCTGGCATAGACCTTACCGGGGAGGCTGAGGAGTGTGATTCCCCTGTAGTTGGAACACACCCTCCGGTCCCCCTTCTTATACAGAGGGACCACCAGTCCAGTCCCCGGGTCTGCCAGTCCAGAGGTACTGTCCCCGACCGCCACGCGAAGTTGAAGAGGCGTGTTAGTCAAGACCCACAACATCCAGAGACTTGAAATACTCAGGACAGATCTCATCCGCCCACGGGCTTTATAATAGGCTTATAAATAGGCTTTTTATGATAGACAAAATAGCAAAAAAAAAAAAATCAGGATCATGTAAAGCAGGTTCATATAAACATTTTAACACCAAAATGTCGAGGTTCACAGCAGCAGGTACAGACAGAGGAGCCACAAAATCCTAACGTAAGTCAGAGCCAGAGTCAGAAGGAGCTGGAAGAGCCTCCTGGAGAACTTCCTATTTGGCACATGGTGGCTACAGGGTTAGATCTGTCCACTTGTATATACAGTCTATGGTTGTATGAAAGTGATGATGATAATGATGATGTACAGAAAATGTCTAATAAAAAGGTTGCATAGTCATATTGTGTCTAAATGTGTGTGTTGACATCCAACATACACATTTAATGTGAGCTACTTTAAACTCTTTGAGTTATCTGACCAGCTGCATATGATGTTTATAGTTTGTTTTACCCATATTGTTGAAGTATTTCAACAAGATAATAAAAAAACAACAACATGTTTTTGGAGGAACATGGAGTACTACATGCAAATATCACAATGAAATTGCAAGCAAGCAACCAAATCGGGTCATTTTTGACCCACTTATGCATCTAAGGGTTAATGTGGGTAGGTCTTACAGGTTTGTAACTAGCACCATTTGATTCCCTGACCCTGAAAATGTGGGTTTAGCAGTTAAAATCAACATTTCAACTTATTCAGAGGCTGAGATATTCCAAAAAGAGTTTTTTGGCGGCCATTTTTTTTTTTCAAAATCCAATATGGCCGCCATAAAGACATCTGGGCAAATGCAAACATTGATTTTCTGACTCCATATACTATAACCTTTCCAAAAATATATAGGTTAGCAAATCCCCAAAAACTTCCCACTAAGGTCAAAAAATGAGAATAAGGAACCGGACTAATGATACAAATACAAAATCAGGACAGAGGTTTGACGTCATTTATAGTCCGATTACAGAGTTTTCTATTCAGACAGGATGTATGAAGGACTGGCTGCTCACACAAGTCCTAACAGCACCCCCTGATCTCAGTCACTGAACTGACCACATCAGATCAGATGACTTTGCCTGACCTAAAGATGGTACGATGTGTTACATGTGAGTGAGTGCAGAGCCAGGGACACATGGACGTCACACTGAGATCCCGTCCCCCAGGCAGTCCCGCGCCCCCCGCCTGTTCAGGACATTCAACAACCTGACCGTCTCTGCATCTGTCCCCCACCCAAAACACTCCCCCTCGTCCCCGTCCTCCAGCGCATCCTCGCTGTCCTCTGAGTCCGACTCATACTCTGACGCGATGCCTGATTCACGAAAGTGCCCAAAGTCCGCCCACCTTTCCTGGGGCTTGGGGTCCCGGACCACCACATCCTCACCCTGCCCCGCTCCTGCCCTCTGTGCCGGGGGAGGGGAGGGCAGCCGGGGGGGCAGAGGGGGGCCTGCGGGGAAGCGAAAAGGCTCCAGTCTGAACAGGTGTGTGGGGGCCCTACCTAGCGGACTGCCGGACGTCCCGTTGGAGGAGAAGGCGTGTCCCAGAGTCAGAGGGGGCGTGGTCACCTCTGGTTTGGGGGTGGAGGGGTCACACAGTACCGGGGGTAAGGTGGAACGGAAGGTGATCTCCAGCAAACTGTCCTGGGAGCCCACTGTGGACACAAACACAAAAACACATCAAATTTGATTTTTGGCAATAAATGAGATTTTATCTTTTGCTTTATACACAGCGCCCTCCTCTGGCACGAGAGGCAGCTACACCTGGAGTCACTCCTGCTCTGGATAAATACTTCATGTCACTTTCTGAAGTCACCTGCACCATTCCTTTGAAAGTTAAAACCATACTTTGGAACATTCTCCATGGAGACAGATAGGTCTTATGCCATGCTGTGGAAGATTATAGTCAAAGGAACGACTTTTCCACAGAAACAAACAAGAGGAAGCCCAATAAGAGACAGGTTTGTGGAGATGCAAGCCCGCTCACAAAAAGAACACATTTTTCAAAAATGTTAGTTGCAATAAAAAAACAACAACAACATACATCCATTTTCTTCTGTATCTGTCGTCTTGTGCTTTCAGTCATTACCCAGAGCTCATGACCATAGGAGAGGGGAGGAGGGAAGATTGAGCAGTAAATCAAGAGGTTTTCTTTGGACTCAACTCCTTCTTTACCACAACAGTCTGATAAAAAAACATGCTCTGTAGTTTTGTTTTTGTTATTTGCTAAAAAGTTACAGAGTGGGACTTTAATACTTGCTGAGGCAAATCTATAGATTGCTGCTGAACATGAAGTTAAGAAAACAAGATGGTTTCCTCATGCTCCAGGATTTGGCAAAAGTCTGAAGAAAAATGTTTTACATCTGTCTGTGGCACATCTGTCTGTGGCACATCTGTCTGTGGCACAGTGTCTGTGGCACATCTGTCTGTGGCACAGTGTCTGTGGCACATCTGTCTGTGGCACATCTGTCTGTGGCACATCTGTCTGTGGCACAGTGTCTGTGGCACATCTGTCTGTGGCACAGTGTCTGTGGCACATCTGTCTGTGGCACAGTGTCTGTGGCACATCTGTCTGTGGCACATGTCTGTGCACATCTGTCTGTGGCACAGTGTCTGTGGCACATCTGTCTGTGGCACATCTGTCTATGGCACAGTGTCGGTGGCACATCTGTCTGTGGCACATTTGTCTGTGGTACATCTGTCTATGGCACATCTGTCTGTGGCACATCTGTCTGTGGCACATCTGTCTGTGGCACATCTGTCTGTGGCACAGTGTTGGTGAGTTTGATTAGGGCCATCTGGACGCCTCACCAAACTCCAGCACTACCACAAGGTTATTCACAAAATGCTTAAAACTAAATTTGAATTTTCAGTTTGACAAAAGTGACTAGTCTGAAACGGAAGGGTAATAATTCAAGGATAAAGTCCAGAGACAGACCAGTGCTGCAGAATACAGATCAGTGCACCGTGAGTCATCAGCGTGTGCCGACAGGGGGTATAAAAACACTGCATTGTGGGAAAAAACACACACAAATACTACCTCAACATGATGGACTCTGAAGTACTGAGCAACTCGTACTTTCAGGTAGGGGCAGTGAATGTGACACAGAGGGACAGAAAAGAGATGGTACAGAGGAGGACAGTGAGTATGTGGTACAGAGGAGGACAGTGAGTATGTGGTACAGAGGAGGACAGTGATGCAGAGGAGTGGGTCAGTTGGAGCAGAGGATTCATTGTGGACAACTTAAAGTAAATGCAACAACACTACAAACATACCATCCATTTAATTTATTATATTTATATTAAGTGTTAAATGTATTTCATGTATTTAATAAATAAAATGTATTTCATTTACTTATTACTTACTTATTCTTGCCATATTTTACTTATATAATTATAAAATTATGATCAGATACGAAACATTCCATGCCCTGTTCCCGTGAGAAGAGCAGGCTCCAGGTCCAGTGTGGCTCTCCTCCACTGACACGGGGCTCATTGAAATGCACAGGGCTGTCAGAGGATAGAAGCTGTGTAAGACTAATGTGTGAAATCATAGCCATGGAAATATACGGGGAAGACGATTAGTGCGATTTCTAAAACCCAATTAATCAGAGCCAGAATAAATCAGAGAGCGGCGTTTGGGACACTGCTCTGGCTTTCACACGGTTACATCATCTGCTCGGGCTTTAGAGGGACTCAAGAGGAGGCGACTGTGGCAATATTCACCCAGACCAGAGCATTCAACCAGGAGAGGCTCCAACACACGCAAGACCTGTGAGAGAATGTAGAGTATATAAGGCCCTGGGATACTTATGCAAAATGTATCTTACCCCAGGACAGAGGATCATGTATAAGAAGCTCTTAAGGTCAAAATATGTCTGCTATGTGGTATCTGCATCTCATTATAAAGGGCTTTACTGTCTGATTATCTGGAAGTGTTTGTTAGCATGCTAGTGTTACACTGAAGGCAAACTCTGCTCTGACCTCTGCATGTTCTGAAAAGCTCTTATAAACTCATCACAGTGAATAATGAGGATGTTCAGAATGAATAATGTAAGTGAAGAGTAACTTTGGGCCACTGTAAACTCTTTCAGATCAACTAGTTCAGTTTTTCACATTTTTAAGAAAAAATCTGGTCCAGTACCTGTCCTACCCTTACCCCCCTGTACTCACAGCTCTGGGGGTCCGTCCTCCCTCTACCTCCCTGTACTCACAGCTCTGGGGGTCCGTCCTCCCTCTACCTCCCTGTACTCACAGCTCTGGGGGTCCGTCCTCCCCCTTACCCCCCTGCACTCACAGCTCTGGGGGTCCGTCCTCTCCCTTAACCCCCTGTACTCACAGCTCTGGGGGTCCGTCCTCCCCCTTACCCCCCTGTACTCACAGCTCTGGGGGTCCGTCCTCCCCCTTACCCCCCTGTACTCACAGCTCTGGGGGTCCGTCCTCCTCTTACCCCCCTGTACTCACAGCTCTGGGGGTCCGTCCTCCTCTTACCCCCCTGTACTCACAGCTCTGGGGGTCCGTCCTCCTCTTACCCCCCTGTACTCACAGCTCTGGGGGTCTGTCCTCCTCTCCAGCTCCTGTATCTGCTGCACCAGGGCGGAGATGTGCTGGAGGAGGTCTCTGTTCTGCAGCAGGAGTTGGTGCACTCTGGCCTGGGCTTCGATCCTTGCCGTGGCCTCTGCGTTCAGCTGGTCCCTCAGGAGGTGCACCTGGACACACAGTGTAGTCAGGGTCAGACCTCTGTTACGCAGTGGCCAAACTGGTACACTCTTTGGTTGGCAAAAAAATACAATCTGAGCAGTTTACTTTTTCTTTAATTGCTGTAAAGTACAGAAGGAAAATCAATAAATAACATAAACAGAGTGTAAATGCTAACAAATTAATTAAAGAACTCATATTACAGAAAATGGATCTTTTAACCATGTTATACAGTTCTGATAAAAACATACCTGGAGTTGAGTTGAGTTTATTTAGTTTGTTTATTTACTTAATGAGACACATAATCTCCATGAACCTCAACAGGAGAAATGATGTTGATGTTATAGTTCATCAAATCAATCATACAAAGCTTTGCACAAAATTGCAAAGCTAATTATCTATAAGGAGGGTTTGAATACAGCCCGGGAGAGATCACTAGATTCCCCAAACATGCATGGATGACATCTGAAACCTTTTTGATGAGAGAATGGTATAACACAGGAGAAAGCTTCAAAAACTGCAGTGTCACAGTAAGTCATTCATATTTTTTCAAGGGAGAAATATAGAAACAGAACTGTGCATGTTTCAAAATGTCATGAGAGAAAATGGTCACGTGAAGAGGTAAATGGTGAGAGTTATACATCCATTCTGTCTGTAATGGACACTTAAACTTCTGCACATCAGGAACCACTCACCCACTCCCACACATTCATACAACAGTGTACGCAGACACAGGGGACCAAAGTGTCTTGCTTAAGGGCAAAATAACAATATTTTCCTGTAGCTGCTGGGATCAAACCTCCAACCTGTGAGTCAGTGGATAAAATATTCTGTGGCTCCAGCAGAGCGTGGACTCCTCCTGAGCATCTCTGAGCTGCAGGAGTCTCATTTTCACACTGAAAACATGAGTCAGGCTCCAGTCGACCTCCAACAAATAACTCTCACTGTGTGCATTTAAACACAACTGAACCTGTGCGCAGCAGACCAGAGGTACTACTAATACTACTAATAATACTAATACTACTAATACTATCAGTACAGTTACTACGACTTACACATATAGCACTAGTTGGAGAAGACAACCACAGCTTCTACAACTACTGCAAATACTAGAACCACTACTAGGTTTGGGTAATCCTCCAGTTAAGGTCGTTCTGATGAAGTCTAGTAACCAGATTGTTAGAGAAATTCCATTTCTGTGCTGTATTGAGGTCACTCAGTGCCAGCTCAGTCCCTGTTATCTTGGCATTTATCATCTGAGCTATAATAATCCCTACAACAGAATGGACAACAGTATCAGAGTGTCCTGAGGGTTCATGTTTGACTCTGTTCTCTTCAGCTCTGGGGCTGCTGCAGTTTCTTCTCCACTTACATCTGGAGCTGGGTCTGAGCTCTGTGCTGCTCACTGCTCCTGAGGAGACGCCCCAGAGACCCTGAAGGACACTCAAGCACAGAGGACACTGTGAGGACAATAAAGTACACCTTTACATTAACTACTACTACTACTACTACTGCTATTACTACTACTGCAGCTACTGCTGCTGCAACTACTGCCACTAATATAGCTGATACAACTACTACACTACTACACTACTACAACTACTGCAACTACTGCAACTACCCCAGCTACTATAACTAAACAACAACTACTACAACTGCTACAACTACAACAGTACAACTACTACAACTATTGCAATAACTGCAACAACAGACAGCTACAACTAAGGCTCCGTTCGCACTGCAGCCTGAAGTGACCAAAATCAGATTTTTTGGCCCCTATGTGACCTGTATCTGATCTTTTAATGACAGTCTGAACGACACAGATCCCATTTTTTCAAATGCGACCCAGGACACTTGGATATGTGCTCCTAAAACTGATACATATCTGATCTTTTGACATGTGACTTCAGTCTGAACGGCCAAAGTGCATCCATCCACCTACACGTTATCACACGGTGGACTTGGCTATGCCAAAGAGGTTGGCTATTGTGTGGTAACAAGCACCTGTTGCAAGCCAATACAACCCAACTCTGATGCGTTTGCTCATGGAAATAGGCCGCCGAAGATGTGTTTCCTACCGCGAGAGTGGCACAAGTAGGTGCTCACAAATGTACACAAACGTTCTTCTCGTCATATGAAATCATATATTACCTTTTGCATAAATTCGTTGTACTGTGTGGATGTTGGGAGTTGGGTGAAATTCGCGGGCGGAACCTTTGATGCTTGTCGCGCCCCCCCCCCTCTTCTATTCCACAGGTTCGTATTTGCTTAAAAGTCGCCAAGAATGAAATATTTGAGTTTTATGAAACTTTCAGGTTGGGAATGATAGTGGGAATCTAAAAGTTTGTGAAGTTTTGAAGTTAAATCACAGCATAGCGAGACCGGTTTGCGCGGGGCCGTTGGTCTCTGGGGAGATCGCAGAGGGGTTGCTAAGGGTTTGGCGGCTCGTGCAGCTCACTTTTATTTGACAATAACAGTTGTATAACGCTAGTATGCTGAATGTGTAAGACTCCTGTTGACTTTAGAGAAGCCTAATGACATGATTTTGGTTGTTCAAGAACCCTGTGTGCATTATTTGTTTAAGTTATGTTGTGACTGAATTACACTGTTTAATTGAAAATTTAAAAAAACATATCTGGGAAGGAAACGCAACTGTGGCAGTCAATATTTTCCTAAGACTCTCTTTCTATTCCACAGATGAATTCTTTTTGTTGTCGTGTCCGCACCTGGGACCGGTAACACATGCAGGACACTTTTGGGCCGTTTAATGTTCACACTGGAGATCACATACAAGTCACATTTAATTGGAAATATGAACCACCTCGCAAAAACATCGGATTTCACAAAAAAATAAAATAAAATCCAAATTGAGCATTAAGTCTTGTAGTCTGAACATAGCCTAATACAACTACTGTAACTACTACAGATGACTAGAACCATCAATCCTGGTACTATTACTGCTACTACTATTATTATTGCCACTACTGCAAAACTGGATACTACTGCTGCTGCAAAATTGGATACTGGTACAAAATTGCAGTACTACTACTACAGTAAAATCCTCTCCTCTGTACCCGACATCACTCAAACACTGAGCTGCTCTGGAATGACACCCACTGGAGCAGAGACTAAAACTACAGCACACACTGAAATGAGCCTGGCCCGCTCCAGACCATAGACCGCTCCGGCTCCACTGTTATTACTGCTACTGTTATTACTGTAACTAATATACTGCTATTACTTCTTACTACCACCACGTGATCTACTATGTCTACAGCTTCTACTGTTACTTTAATGTACAACTATGGTAATAATACTGCTACATAATACTACTGTTACTACTACTGTCGTGACTATTACTACTATTGCTACTACTACTGCTACTACTGCTACCACTACTACTACTACTACAACTACAACTAAGTGTAATAGTGTGTAATAGTGTAATACTACTACAGCTGTTACTCATATTGCTACTATATGCAGTAATGATTTGTAGTGGAAGTACAGTTAGTGTATCTTGGCCTGTGCCGTCTTCAGATGTCCATGAAACGAGGCTCCAGACATTAGACGGCTCCATTGTGTGAGGGCTGATGGGAGTTTGGAGCAGAGCCAGACTCGGCTTCAGACCGGCTCCGTTCTGAAAACTCCGACCTGAAGAGCATCAAGGAGCCAACATGCACACATCCACACATTTAAAGCAACATTATGGAACATTTTAACAGTTCTAATTTTGTATTGACACTTTGCAGCTGATGTCGTCAACATTCCATGGGGCTGTGATGCTAACTGTAGCACTGCTCTGTCTCAGGATTTGTTACATTTTGATTTTAGATTTATATCAACACAATGAAAATGCTGATCTACAACATTTGTTCTGTTAGTAAGTAAGTAAGTAAGTCTTTATTTATATAGCGCTTTCACAGACATTTTCTGTCACCAAAGAGGCTTTACAGAGCATTATTCAGCATTCATTCATACAGCATTATTCATTCACTCTATACCCTGGTGATGGTAAGCTACTATTGTAGCCACAGCTGCCCTGGGGCACACTGACAGAAGCGCGGCTGCCATGCCACTCGGCGCCATCAGTCCCTCCGACCACCATCACTCACACACACACACACACACACACACACCACTTTCATACTAGGCAAAGTGGGCGAAGTGTCTTGCCTAAGGACACAATAATTGAATTGATTGTATTTAACTGACCTTGACTATCAACTGTTTATGGAGACCTGGAGCATGTTTTTTGGGTTGATGGGGGAAACCGGAGCACCCGGAGGAAACCCATCCAGACACGGGGAGAAACATGCAAACTCCACACAGAAAGGCCCGGGCGACCCAGGGATGGAACCCAGAACCTTCTTGCTGTGAGGCATGAGTGCTAGACACTCAGCCACCCAGCCACCGTGCCACTGCCTGTTGCACAAGTCCTTCAAATAACATGACAGTCACCAGCAGTTTTTCAGCTTTTGTTGAAAATCAAACTCCTACACAGGACCATGAATGCTGGTGTTGATCATAGGCTTCTGAAAATGTGCTCTTTAAATCCATCTTGTAATTTTTCTGGAGTGTTCAGACCATCACAAGATCAGTTTTGTAATACCTTTTTAAAATCTGTAATAGTTCAGGATACACACAACTCTCTCTTTAAATGAGTGCTTCACAAACTGAACACACTCTTGGGTCCCTGTGGGCGGCTCTATAGCGCCCCCTCTCTGAGCAGGTGCACAGGTGGAAGCAGAGAAAACGTGCTCACAGACTGAGTCACAGCAGTTTCACAGCTGACCTGAGGAACCCCCCCAGAGCACTTTGAAGTTTGCTACGGGAGATGAGTGTGATGAGAGAGAGCAGGAGAGGTGAAGAAGAGGAGGAGCGTTTCAGAGCAGAAGAGGTGAAGAAGAGGAGGAGGGTCTGAGAGGAGAAGAGGTGAAGAAGAGGAGGAGGGTCTGAGAGGAGAAGAGGTGAAGAAGAGGAGGAGGGTCTGAGAGGAGAAGAGGTGAAG